CACTCGGAGAGCGGATCCTCTCCACTATCCTCTCCCTTCCCCCTCCCCCGCCCCTGCCTCGTCCTCTCGCGACAGCCGCATCGGTTCACGTTCTACGTCCCTCCGGCTGTTTCCCTCGCCCTATCTCTTTCTCTCTCTCTCTCTCGATCTATCTACCCACCTTCCTCTGACGCACGCGAGCACCGCGTATCAATCCGTCTCCGTTCCGCGCTCCGTATCTGCTTTCTCGCACCGGTTCTCTCGTTCTCCCTCTCGCTCCCGGCGCTCCTCCGCGCGCACTTCTCTCGCTCTTTCTTCCGCCGTAGCACCGCTAGCCGGTCCTCTCTCCGTTGAATCGCTATGCGCGAGACAGACCGGGCACGGAGAGGTGAGGCAGGCGGAGGAAGAGAAAGAGGAGGAGGAGGAGGAGGAGGAGGAGGAGGCGAGTTCACGTTCCATCGCGAAGCACTGGGCGGAATTGGTATATCGGAGGATAGAGGGTGAGCGCGGGTAGGCAAAGGGATGAGGGAGGAGAACGCGGGGACGCGGCGCTCGTAACGTAGCGACGCGCTCGAGACGCGGACGTCGTCGTTTGAAGACGAGTTCTGCTGTGCTGGGAGGCATTCCGGGTTGTTGCACCGGAAGGACAGGCGGCCTGGGAGCCCCGATGTGTCGCCGAAGTAAGTTCTGCTGGAGCTTTAATGGAGGACTTGGATAATTAGCGCGAGTGCAGATCCCGCTGCTTGCCAGTCGGAGGCGAAGCGACGAAGAATGCAAAGAACTTGCAGTCTCGTAATGCGCGACGACCGACAGTTTCACAGAAAACTACTACTCGTCTCTCGGTTTTTGAATATCGTATCTCCGAGTGATTTAATTCAGGACGGAATACGTCGAAAGAAACGTCTTCGAATCTGAATTGTTACCATATTCTCCTCTTTTTCTTACCACGATGACATATTAATCATAATATACAGAATGCATAACCGATGCAAATAGTTGTGAGTTTTTTCAATAAACGTCATTGGATAACGACAATTTAGTTTGAGCGCGAATTTAGTAATGTTCGAAAAAATGCGCGTACTTAACAATCTACAATAACGAACTGTTACGAGATGGAGAGACTGGAGATTTCCACGTGCGTTCTGTACCATACATATTACGTGTCTACCCATATATCTGCTTTTATGTCGATTATTACTATTTACGCAGAAAAGCATGCATAAAGCGGCATAAATTATCGCGAAAATACGAAAACTGTACAATGATAAATAATTTCAGGACTACACATTACCCATGAGACATTTCGTTTCTGCTGCTGTTGGTGCTGTACGTATATCTTATGAATGAATATGGTTATATACGATCGATAGAGAGAGGAGTTACATATCGTTCGTTTTATATACTTGTATATATGTATACAGTCAGATCGTTATTTACTCATAATAATGGTCAGTTTTACATGTATATACGCACAGATGTTGTCCGCGTCAGTTTTATACGTGTTTATACAAACTCAATCGTCGATTACAAATCATTGAGATAACGTAACATATTAATATACAATAATATTTATAACAAAGAAATGCTATCTATTATAAGACGTGACAGAAGTCGAATGACAAAATAAACGTACTGATAAAATGAATCGTCGATAAATGTATAAAATATATAGCGTTAAATAATTTATAATTAAAACTACAAAATTTTCATTCATTTTGTACTGGGTCATTCATGAGCGCGAGTAAAAACTTCTCCGTCATTTAATATACGTTGAATCATTCATATAAATTATAGACTTTTCATTAACTCGATCGCTCTACGTATCTCTCATGGCGATGCACGGCAATAAAAAAAAGTTGTTTTATTTTCCTTTTCATAACAGTCGGGCATAAAACGCAGCGTTTGTTTACTGTGTATATTTGCGTTATATATGTAGTTTCACGTCAAACCAATTGTCATCTGTTCAATTTATTTGGTCGCGCGAGATACATTTTACAATTCAGGGAATAAAAAAAAATTTAATTGAAAACATTTTTCTAGTCCACAGGCTATGATAAATCGATTTTTTATTATTATTTTTACATCTGCTAGTTTAGCGATTAATTCTCTAATTTGCTCGATTCGCTCGTTTTGATTGATTTTTAATTAATATGTTTTAATTGATATTGAATTTAATTAATTGAACGTCCTGTAATTCCTGTCATAACTTTCAGTTCCGGATTATTTCATCAGATTGAGCTCGACCTTGTCTTAGCATTGGAACTAACATAATGATATCTGAAATAAAAGCGGTGTCGCACTGAAAACGTCGATACAAAATGAAAGTGAAAACGCGATTCCAATTAAAGACCAAAGTTACGTGAACTAAGTTTTTCAATATCCGGTATTGCGCGATTCCGCTCAAAACGTATAATACGCCACCCCGTATTCTTCTG